GAAGAATGTCCCCTCCCCCAGCTCTCTCGTCCCTGTCATAAAAGCTGCTTCCATTTGGTGTAGAGTAATAAAACATGTTTAAGCTAATTTCTCCACAATGTTTGTAGCCATTTAGTACCCACACATGAAAGAATAAAAACAGAGGTATAGTTGAACCGTAATCATGTAGCACATATATTTTTACTGCAATGAAAACACACATATTTGCCCCAAGCATGTGTAACGCATTCCAGAGTCTTGGAGCTATAAAAGGTTTCACATTGTATATTTCCAGCTCCCTTTACACATACTGTTATTATTAATACAAAGTAATCAACCACACCCGTCTATTGAAAACAAGTAGATTTCCCTGATAATTGACATGCTGAAAATCTTTGGAAGAATGTCCCCTCCCCCAGCTCTCTCGTCCCTGTCATAAAAGCTGCTTCCATTTGGTGTAGAGTAATAAAACATGTTTAAGCTAATTTCTCCACAATGTTTGTAGCCATTTAGTACCCGCACATGAAAGAATAAAAACAGAGGTATAGTTGAACAGTAATCATGCAGCACATATATTTTTACTGCAATGAAAACACACACATTTGCCCTAAGCATGTGTAACGCACCCTCTTCTTTTATGAGGGAAACATTCCAGAGTTTTGGAGCTATCCCCAAATTAGGATGTCCCCTGCTCACATCCCTCTCTAAACACAAAGACTTCACCTCAATATATTGGGGAGGGAAAATATACTTTGTCCCTTCAAATTTAACACACATGAATATATATAAGGTGACATTAAAATGAATATACCAGATTTAACTTTCCTGCCATAACACGTTACTTTAATACTTCAAATAATTCAAATTATCCTTCAATTTCCCCCTTTTGGTCTCGCCTCCCGAGACCAACACACATAAGACATTTGAAACACAACTACTGTCATTCTTTGATACTGTGTCTGTCCCCCTTCATTAAACCTTTGGGAACAGAACACAACTTTCAATGTCAGTGAAGGAACTATCAGAGTGGTTGCCTGAGTGCCAGAAAGCAGCATCCTTGCGTGTTGTTGAATCCTCAGGGCCCCCCTCCCCCTCAAAGGAATACGCCAACAAGGGCAGCTGATAGGGAGGGGGAGATGCGGCCTTTCCTTCAAAGGTGGAACTGATGAATATGATCAGAGAGAAGTAGACTCCTCTGCTGCCTCGAGAAGTCCCCCAGCCTGCTGACAGCCGCTTCCGAGTCGTCTGCTGTAGGGATGTCCGCGAGGTCCTTCTCCTCCAGTCCGCTGATGACAGCTTCCGAGTCGTCTGCTGTAGGGATGTCCTCGTTGACGATAGCCAGGTCCGTCCTGATGTCCTCCATGGTCCTAGCCGGAGGTTTCCCTGCCGCACACTGGCTCCAGTAGTACCAGATGTCCCCCTTTGCTCCTCGGCGGACGGCATGAGATGTCCTCTGGGTCACTCTGTAGAGGCCGGAGAACCTGGGGTTGAGCCACGTAGGCCTGACGACCTTCAGCCAGACGAACTCCGCTGTGTCGGCCTCCTGCTCCTCGGGTCCCCCTTTTGGCGTCAGGAACCTGTGTGGAGAAATCTGATACCCACCCCTCCAGTCTACGCTCAGGGCTTCTGGGCCCTCAGGTGTTTGACCCACCACTGGTAGGCTGCTTGGAGCCTGTTGGTGGGGTGTCTTAAAACAACAGCTGTCTGTGAACAGGTTTTCTAAATTAGTTGCAGACCTCCTATCTGCCAGTGCAGCTTCAGAATCTTAATACTTGGCCTGTGTCAACAAAATAAACCCCAACATCTTCAGGTGAACTAAATAACATATTTCAATAGCTCTGAATTTCTGACAAGCATCTGTGTTATTTTAAATGAAATCCTTGAGATCCTATTTAAAATCTAAATATAATATGAACTGCTAATGTCTCTGGTAAAGAAACACACTAATGTTATGGATTAAAAACAACTAAAATCATGATACTGACAAAGTGAATAATTTCCTGGTGATACTGCTTCTACCTGTCAGTGCTTAGATATTATCAAGCTGAAAAAATGAATACAGAAATCCAACATACTGTCATCAAATGTCTTTCTATTATGAATTTAAATTAAATGTACCCCCATAATGTTACCTCAAAAAGTCTATGGCTTTTACTTCTTTACCAGGCTAGTTACAAGATGTTGTCTAAATTAAATTCTATCTCATTACATTACTATGTTTTAACTTAACTGTAATATGTTCTTTCTACATTTCAAACCTCAGTTACTTTAATACCTGTTGAAATATTACAAAATTGTTTCATTATCACAGTTCACCTTCTCTGGTATTCTCATTCTGGAATTACCTCTCTCAGTAGCCCCTTGGCCACTGATTCTGCATCTGTGTTACCTGTTACAATTTAATCAATATTAGAAACATGTCAACATTCTTAGGAAA